AGAAAATTTTATTAACTTGTGTGTAGTTTGTATCTAGCAGTATATCTGGCACATAATAGGTGTCCAGTAATACAGTTTGTTTTTTCATCTAAGCAACTCATACCTCTCCACCATCCTTTAGTTTTATTTGTTTGTTTGTTTGTTTTAATATCTTCCTGAGAAACTCTTTTTATTTAAAATCTTTTACTTTTTTCTTGTTAGTTTTTGCCTGTTACTTCCTGTAACACTGTGCTGTCTGGTGCTGTAGTCATTAGCCACGTGTGGCTATTTATCAAATTAATGACAATGAAATGAAATGAAAATTCACAGTAGCCATGTTTCCTTTGCTTGACAGCCACAGGTGACAAGTGGCTACTTTATCGGATGGTGTGGATACTGGGTACAGACAGCTCCACCTTGGCAGAAAGTTCCATAGGCTAGAGTGCTCTGTCCTCTGTCCTGTTCACCCCTTCATTCTCACTGCCTTGCTGAGTGTTTAGGATTTGGTAGATGATTAACAAATACTTGCTAAATAAACGCTTTTAGTCCATCTGGAAAAGCCCTGAGGCAAATATAAACAAAATTTCCTTTTTGTTTGAACCGTGGTTCTTAGGGGCTAAGAATGCTCTCCTTGAAAAAGTAAAAAGTTAGATTTATTTTCGGCTGTATTGTAGCTTTGATTATTACTAGTTTTCAGTCATGAGTGCTTACCACATGCCAGGTACTCTTCCATGTGCCTTACACATAATACCTTATTAATCTTCATGACAACCTTGTGATGATACTTTATTTCTAGCTTACAAATGAGGAAGCAGAGGTGCAAGAGGAAAGTAACTTGCTTAGGTTCACACAGCTACTAAGAGGCAGGGCCAGAATTTGTACCCAGGCAGTCTGGCTCCAGAGGCCATGCAATTAACCACAACACTGAGCTCTTTGTGATTATTTTTTAATAAGGACCATTTTGTCTCTTTTTTCCACTATTTAAACCTCACTATTTAATGTTCTTATTGATTGCATTTAGCTAGGATGCCCTTAAAAATGTTAAATACCTGTTATAACCCTGCATTCTTGTGGGTCCCTGATTTTAATGTGCTTCTGCGTTTTTAATGTATGATATTATTGTTGTTTTCTGATGATAATCTTGATCCAATTAAGGAACTGTACTTTTTTTTTTTTTTTTTTTTTAGGAACTGTACTTTTATTTCTAGTTTTTACTGAGCATTTTTAAAATTCAGAAATGGCTGTTGGGGGCATTCCCTGGTGCTTCAGTGATTGTGACTCTTCCCTTCCACTTCAGGATGCCTGGGTTCTATCCCTGATTGGGAAATTAGGATCCTGCAGGCCACACAGCAAGGCCAAAAACAAAAAAAAAGCTCTAATATAATAATAATAATAATAATGTCTGTGGTGATGGTAGTATAACTTTGTGAATAAACTAAAAACAACTGAATTATACCTAAAAAAAAGAGAAATGGCTGTTGAATGTTATATGAAACATCTTTAAGAAATATCATTTGGCTCTTCTCCTTTAATTTAATAAACATCCCAAGTAGATTTCTTAATGTTAAATGTTAAATCATTCTTGGAATGAAGTGTACTTTGTTACGGTGTGAATTTTTTTATTACTCCGTTACTGGATTTTATGTCTTCATACTCAATTTTGTGTTTGTAACAAATTAGTGAGAACAGAAGAATTCTCCTTTCCTTTGGTGCTCTTTGCCTTGGGGGGTTTTTAGTATCCAGATTATGTTAGTCTTGTGGAATAACCCAAGAATTTTTTCCTTTTGCAGGAGAGTCTCTGTTTCCCTAGGTTCCAGGCCGGTTTGGGTACCCATCTCACTCTCTTCTTCCTTCCAGAGCTGCCCCATGGTACCCACGAGGATATTTTCTTCCTGCTGCTTAGCCGCTTCAGTCGTGTCGTGTCAGACTCTTGTTTTCTTACACTAGACCGCAAAGCTCTTCGTAAGTGGAACTCACCTGCTGATCCTTAATAACGCCTGGGCATCATTCCGCTTTCTCAGCATTTTGTTGCACAGACCTGGCCTCTGCTAATTTCATGCCACTTGCCTTGCTTAAATCCTAACCATAGAATTTGAGGTAGACGGGATGGGTGTGCTGTTGATTCTGGCAAAATAGAACTAACATTTGAGGCAGACAGTGTGTGTTGCTGCTGACACCTCAATTTACACGATCGTCGGGATCCTAGGAAGCTTTGTTATTTTTCTTTTGTAGATGGGAAAAGAAACTTGATAACGTTATATACCAACTAGGGAAGGTGCCAGAATTTGAAACCAGGACTGCTTGACTCCAAAGTGACTGCTGCTTCCACTACAGCATGCCTCACCCCTCCATTGTGTTCCCAAGCTACAGCCTCCCTCCTTGACCTGTTTGTCCTCCGTGCTCCGTTAGCAATTACAGACTGTACCACACCATTTATATTACGTATACTCTGTATATTTTCTATTGTTTCATCTGCAATTTTTGTCCTACACAGGGCAGTTATTAACGGAATCTGTGCGTGTGCTGATCCGACTCCAAATTTGGGTATTTTTTCTTACTTTATAAAAATAGTGGGCAAAATACAAGGAAAAGGTGGCCAAGTACCAAGAATTTGGATTGTGTTAGTTCTGACGGCACACTAAAAAAAAAAAGTCCCTTTCAAATTAAGTTTAACTCTGCGTGCTGTTCCAGGGGCTTTTTAGCGACCCCTGCAAAACCAGAGCCTCAGAAACTAAGAGATTTGGCATTATGTGACGACCGATCACTTTCCCACGCAAGAAAATCAAACAGCGGCAAGACGCTGGAAATCGCACCTACTGCACAGACTTCCAAACAAGGAAAGCTGGACGCTAAGTCAGTCCCTCCAACCGCAGGCACGATCCCGCGCCTCACACACGTCTTCCCCCCCCTCCCCCCGGGGGTTCAGCCGGATGGAACATTCCGTGCGAAAGCTTTGACAGAGCGCCCACTTGGCGTCACGTGGAGCCGGAGCGCACTCGCGGCGCCTTGCGGGATGACGCCGGGTAGGGTTGCCAAGGGGCGGGGCCAGGCGCCGCGGAAGGGGCGGGAAGGAAGCCGGCCGGGGAGGCGGGGCGGGCCGAGCGGAGGGGCGGGCCGAGAGAGGCGCGCGGGAGGGGAGGGCCCAGCGTATTATGGGATGCGGCGGTGGAATGGCGCTGGGCGCGTGATTTTGAACAAACCCGGGTCTGTGTCTCGGAGGCGCCGCCGCCGCCGCGGCTGCTGGGAGCCCAGGGAGCGCGGCGTGAGAAGGAGGCGGCGGCGCCGCCGCCGGCTTTGGTGAGTGTCAACCTCCCGGGGTTGGGGGCCCCTAGGCAGGCGGGCGGGAAAGGGGACGCGCGGGCAGGGGCGCCGGACCGCCCCCTCCGGCAGCCCGGGCTAGAGGGGTAGTGGCAGAGAGCGGGAACCTGCAGTCTTGGGGGCCGCCGCGCCCCATCCCCCGGGCCGCAGGAGGCGGGAGGATCCTCCGGGCTCGGCCCCTTCCCGCCGGCACTCGAGAGGGCGGCTGTCACCCGGCTGGGCCGGCTCTCGGCCGGCAGCCCGCCCTTCCCGGCGATCCGGAGGAAGGGCTCCCACGGCTGTTGACACGCACGCTGCGCGGCCCGAGGAGCCGCCGTGTCGGCCCCGGGTTTCTGGGAACCGGTTTGGCTGCTGTGTCATTTTGTACCAGCCCCTCCTTTTCCCTGCTGCCCGTCGCCCCGTCCTTCCTGTGCCCCTTTGTAGTGGTGTCTTCTTCGTGTCTGTCCGTTTTCCTCGCGAAGCCCACCGGCCAAATGTCATAATGTTCCCGAGGTGCACGGGGTAGGGAGCGGGCCAGCACTTAGCTTGGCCAAGCAACGGTAAGCACCAAGCGGAGTGCGGGTGGCCGGGGCTGGCGGTGGGGAAGTAAAGTTTACAGATGAAAAAATTGGGAAGGCTGGATACTCTCAGCGTCTAGCCAGCTGCATATAGAAAACGGCGACTGGGCTGGGTGATGATAGCACTTGTTTAAGCCTGAAGCTATCGACTTTTCTGTGGAGTTGTCATTCAAGCCAGGTAAGGAAATGAAATGCCTTGTTCAGCTTCTACCCTTCTCTTCTTAAACTAACTTCTAAAAAAAGACAGTAGAGTGGCTCTGTTCGAAACCTGGAAATTCATTTCAGACAGATCATTTAGAGCTTATGCTGTAGTTGAATGCTGGGCACAGAATTCACCTTTTAAAAAATGGGTGGTTATCAAATCTGAAATTAGCAAAGGTAGCCAATTTAGTTTTAGAAAAATTTTGTTCCTTTCAGAAGCCATGCAGCTTATGTTTTCTTGTTATTTCTTTGATGATTAAAACATGCCTATCTTCTCTTTTAGTTGTTTATTAAACTACATGATGAGAGACGCTGGTGATGCTGAGTAGGTAATTCTAGGGTCTTTTCTAAAGCACGCTGCTTATTTTCACTGTATCAAAGATTTCAGCGGCAGATTTTTTAATTTGATGACTTAGATTCTAAAAACGTTTGGCAAAAAAAATTTTAACTCCGAGTTATATTTTCTGTATTTTAGATATTGTTCACTCATGAGTAGGATCCGTACATGTTAAACCTAGTTGCTCTTTGACGTCTTAAACCAATGACAAACGAACTGGAAGTCACAGTGTTTATGGACAGAAAGGATCAGAGGAAGTTAAGAGGAAACAGTTCGGAACTTTTATTTTGAAAACTTAGACGTCTTGACCACAGTATCTGCATGAGAATCAATGCCTGTAAATTTACTAATGTGTCAGAGAGGTCTGAAGTGCGGTGGGAAACAGCCCATTCTGTCAAAAGCGGTGCTGGCGGTGGAGGAAAATGTCAGAGCTGGTGAATGACATTCCAGGTCTTGATCCTGTTGTTGTTTCTCGTGTCTGCGATGGACACAGCGCATCAAAGGCATTCCATCATCTTTCTCTCAAGTTGCCGTCCTGAAAGTGGCAAAGAGTGGAAGCTCTTGGTGGTCCCTCTGCCCCTTTCCGCTTTTTTTTTTTCTTTTGCTCTTCAAAACAAAAGTGTGCCGGTCTGGGGACTCTGCAGGTAGCGCGATTTCCCCTCCGTGGCGGGGTGAAAGGTCTCGGCGTGGGCTCTGTGTGCAGTGGTGTCTCCCCGAGCATTTGAAGGTTGGCGGGGCCGGCGGGAGGTTTCCCCGGATATGTGGGTGTGCACCTCTCCGGAGGGGAGGGCCGGGGAGGGGAGGAGGAGGAAGGGGGAGGTTACTGGCGGCGGCGGCGGCGGCCCGGGCTCGGGCTGTCGGGGAAGCTGCTGAGCTGTGATGGTGATGACGAGGTGAAAATGGCGGATCTTTCGAAATACAATCCCGGCCCCTGACATACCAGAGGCGGCGGCCGCGGCGGCGTCGCCACCCGGGACTCCGTCCGCGGCCCCCGGGTTCCCCAGTAGCGTTCCAGGTCCGGCAGACGAGGGGAGGAAGAGGCTGGCCGGAGCCACCGTGCACACGCAAAAGCAGCACCGCCCGGGCTCAGGATTGCCCGGGACCTTCTGGAGCCCCCACCTCGGAGCCGGAGGGAGGAGAAAGCGGCCGCCGCCGGAGGTAGAGGAGCCAGGGGCTACCCGAGGGCTGCTCCGTTGCGAGGTCGCTTTATTTGTGGGGAGGGGGCGGGTGGACGAAGGATCGCCCGGCGGATCAAGGAAGGGCTAGTTCAGAGTGCAGAGGATCAGCAGCCTCGTCATGACATCAACATTCTTCTTTTGAGTATTAAGAGGACTCGAGTTTGCTCTTATACCCAAGGCTGCTACTGAGGCCTAGAGGAACCGCTAGCAGTTATCCTGGTTTCCTGATTGAATGTTTAAAATATCCACTCCGGCGGGTGTTGGTTTGATGATGTCCAGCAGTTTAGGGGGTTGTACGTTTCTTTAGGGAGGCCGAAGGTTGGCATTTTATTCGGCATTTAAGCTCTGGGTCTTAGATCATAGTCTGTAACTTGTTGGGGTGTGGATGTTCACCTTTTGTGAGCCCGTGGACCAGTTCTGTAATCACTGAAAATGTTGTCTCTTTCTTTGATGGCTCTGTTATCTATAGAGGACTCTTTGGCCCCTGCCATCGGCAGATGACAATTGAGATACTGTCAGTCATATCTGATATCCATGTGTTTCCCTGCCTCTCATCCATTTCAGGAATTCAGAGAGTAAAGTTATGGAAGGTTTTACAGTAGATTTTATGATCCAGCTTTGCCAGCCCTATTTTGGTTCACAAGTTTTGCCTTCATTGTTAAGAAGGAAGTTGTGATGACTTGATGCTCACACTTGATAGGAGTCAAATTTTGAGTTGGTTAAAGACAAATTGAGACCTCTGTTTTATTTAACCTGCTGGACTTTTTAGCCCTTTGTTTCAAGAGCTGGAGAATTTGGGCTGATTGAGCTTTTGACAGCCACAGTCTGGTTTGGTTAGGTTGCCTAAAGATCCATGTATGTTTTAGATTGTGCTGTAGATCCCCAACAGTAGTGTTACTGAAAAGTTACATGTGAATCACATTTTTATACATTGATTTGGGGCCCTCTGATTTTTTTCCCCCCAGATTTTGTAGTGGTAGGGTGGGTTAGTTGAAGGTTGAGTATATGAGTGAACAGAGAGATGAATGTTTAAGAAATGTCTCCTGGTAGTGTTTATGATTAGCAATGGTTTTCCATATCCAAGTTTCCTACAAAGAGATGATGTCATAGCATGTCATACAGTTTTATTCTTTGTGTGTTTTATTCAGAGAGGAAATATTTTAATGTGTATGTGTGTGTATAGCTTGCGTATTGTATGTCCACATTTATTCACTAGAGGACTGAGAGACCAAAGGTATTTTTTTAAATAACTAAGAAGTGCTCAGAGGTTTTAGTTAATGAGTTTTTAAAATAGTTTTTTCCTGATGTTTTCTACAGTAGGAATTTGATTGTTGTTATTTCTTATAGCTCTTACATTGCAGTTGTTTGGTCTCTGCCAACTCAGCTGCTAAGTCAGTACTGAGAGTTTTAAAAATAAAAATAAGTGCAAGGCGCTCAGCCGTGTCCCCCACTCTGCAACCCCATGGACTATACAGTCCCTGGAATTCTCCAGGCCGGAACACTGGAGTGGGTAGCTGTTTCCTCCTCCAGGGGATCTTCCCAACCCAGGGATGGAACCCAGGTCTCCCGCACTGCAGGCGGAGTCTTCACCGGATGGGCCCCAGGGAGGCCGGATAAAGAAGCAGGCTCACTCTTGGGCTTTTCTGTTTCTTAAGTCACCCGTTGCCATCGTCCTTCTGTGATTCCTTGTGATTGTCTTTAAAGACCAGTTTTCAGGTGATTGCTGAAAGAGTTGCCAATTAATGGTTATAAGTGTGTTAGAAAGCAGTGAAGAGTTGCGCAGGTGGAGTTAGTCGGGTGCCTTTTTGGTGGAGAGGCGCATTGCAGAGTCCCACTACTTCTGTTTCCGACTGTTACTATTGGGTATCTGCTGTGTGTCACATACTGTGCTGGGGCTTGGAGACGCCTCAGTATCTTGGCCTTTGCAGACTGTTCGTGGGGTTCTCATGGCACGAATACTGGAGTAGTCTGCCATTCCTCCTCCAGGAAACTTTCCCTTTTGGAATTGGTGGAGGTAACATTGGAAGGGTAGGTTGGGTAGGGCCTTAATGCAGAAGGTCTTGAGGGTTACAGAACATGTTTGAGTAGGATAGTGACGGCCTCAGAGGTGCACTCAGGTGAGATCAGTCCTGTGGCTTTTTCTGTGGGATGTGTCACAGGTAAGAGAAGATAAAGGTAGAAACTACGGTAGTTGGCTCTGAGCTTTGGAGATTTAAAAACTCTTGGTTGCAGTGGGGAGGAGATATTGTGAAGGTGTAATCTGCATGATATATGACGGATTAAAAATTCTATGGGGAGGGGATTCTCTGGTGGTCCAGTGGTTGGGACTCCGAGCTGTCACTGCCCAGGGTCCCAGTTCAGTCTCTTGTCAGTGAACTGAGATCCCACATGCCATTTGTGCACACCCCGAAATTATAAAAATTAAACAAAATAGAGAAATCAGGAGAAGCTAATTTAGATAGAGAAAGAAGAGAAGAATTTTCATTTGTGCTTTAGCATACCACATAACTGTCTTCACAGTAACTGCTAGTAAACTGGGGCTTAGAGAGATTAGTGCTTAGGGCTACATGATAAGCAATGAGGAGAGTCAAGATTTGGAAACACATCTTTCTGATTTGAATCTCTATGTTTTTTCCTCCATGTTAGTCTTAAAGCATGAATGATATACAGTCCCCCTTTAAAGGGAAAAAATATTGTGTATTGTCAGGATTGGCCTAAATAGTTTCACTGTATTAAAATACTTAATTTTTAGATGTATATAAATTCCTTATGCTTACTGCTTTTAGGGAAGTATAAATGAAATATAAACAAAACTGTAGAGCCAGTAAAATTTAGGGTAATGAATGATATTTTGATGAAATGGGAGCTTTGCTTGCGTAGTCAATATGCCATTGTCTGCCTTAACTAGACGTGGAGCTTTCTATATGCTGTGTGTGGGTGTGCGGGCCCAGTCACTCAGTCGTGTCACTCTTTGGGACCCCGTGGACTGTAGTTTGCCAGGCTCCTCTGTCCATGGAATTCTCCAGGCAAGAATACACAGGGGGTTGTCAGGTTCTAGTCCAGGGGATCTTCCTGACCCCCGATCGAACCTCATCTCCTGTATTGGCAGGCAGATTCTTTACCACTGAGCCCCCTGGGAAGCTCCATGCTGTGTATCATATGATAACTCAACTCCTACACTATTTTCTGAGTTTGAGTGTCACAGAACATTCCTCCTTAAATCACCGGTTAGGTGGTTTGACTTCCACATGGCTTAAATATATCATTTACCTTTTAAGATCCTTATATACCTTTTTCTTTAGCCCACTCTAATTCTGATACCACTGATGGTGGTAATCCAGAATATACTTTTTTAAAAAATACATTACTGGAATGAAAATACAGACTTTCCAACACTTCTTCAAGACTCGTATTTTACAGTCCACTGCTCCCAGTTTAGTTTGAGAAATGTAACTCTGTACCTAATTTTTGAGTTGTTAAGGTTAGACCTTGCAAATGAAAGCTAAAATCTAAGTAGTATATTTAACCAGTTAGTGCTGGTGGTAAGCTCTAGGTACAAAAGTATATTTCTTAAACATCCAGATGTTTCTGTCCCGACATCTGACAAGTTATCTTCTATAATATGGTGATAGATCACCACTTTATATTATTATGTGCAAGAATGAAAATAGTTGTTTACCAGGTTGTCCTCTACCTGTAACTAAGAAAAAGAACAGTGCTTCAGCTCTGGTAATTGTCTCAAAAAAAAAAGTGAAAGCTTAGAGCATTTGTCATATCTATCTTACATTGTTTTTATGTTGTATTTATTTCTTTTAATGTCCTAAATCAGACCCTCTGTTTATCTCTGTCTTGAACTAATTACTGTAATAGCCTTGTGACTGGTTTCCCTGCCTTCAGTCCAATAAAACACCAAGATGAAGTCAATCCTCCCAAACTACAGCTGTGATCATGCCCCTCTTCTATTGACATGTAAGGTCTGTCTGGGCAAGGGCTTTGGTTAATTTCCCTCCACAAAGTTGGAAAGCGTTACATATTTGTTAAGTATATACTGATAAAAATAAAAAAGTAGTTAAAAACTAAAGCTTTCACAACTTTGTTTTATGAGCAGAAAATATTGGAAGCCTGGGAAATGCATTGAGTATTTGGTGTTCTTTTCTTTCCATACCTTGAGAGGTAAAATACAGCTCCTCTGTCCTGTTGGCTTGTAAAGATCCTCCCTTTCTCTCTTTTCTTGGAGTGGTCCTCAACACAGGGGTGGTGAGGCTGCATGTGCTAGGGCATATCTTCCATTCCTAAGGGATAAAATTAGAGTGATGATTCATGTCACTAGATGGCCAAACCCTTTCCTGCCATGCCCACAAGCTCCTTCTGAGAGTTTTCTCTTAGCGGAGGCCACCCTGCCCTGCATGTGACCCTGAAACAGCTAGAGATGTCTAATCATAAAGCAGTTATTACAGTCTGCTCAGTGGCCTGTGAGGTGTGCTGGCTCCAGAACTCTGCACAGCCCATGCTACTCAGAGACCAGCCAGACCAATCAGACCTTTTCTGGTTGGAAGTTTGAACTTTACTCCTACTTCCAAGGGAGACTCCTAGCCCTCTAGCTCCTGGTCTCTTTTAATAGGACCAGTCAGAAGAGGACATGTTCATCCTAATAACAGAAATACATGAAGAAGTAAAAATGCACAGGAGAAACAGACAAATCCACAATCATATTTGAGAATTTTAACAGTCTTTCTCAGTAATGGATAGAAGAGGAAAAA